GTATCTTATCTGATTTTTTAAAAACGAACACCTAATAAAAAATAGCTCTTAAGGGAAAAAAATAACGGCATATATTATATGGTACACTTCTATTTAATGTCTGAAAGGTGCTAGAAAAACTATAAAATCCCATCTTACCCAGTAAAATAATTTAAAATATTTAGTAAGGGCGCCTGGGTGGCTCAGTTGGTTAAGCGACTGCCTTCGGCTCGGGTCATGATCCTGGAGTCCCGGGATCGAGTCCCACATCGGGCTCCCTGCTCAGCAGGGAGTTGGCTTCTCCCTCTGACCCTCTTCCCTCTCGTGCTCTCTCTCTCTCAAATAAATAAAATCTTAAAAAATAAAAATAAAAAATAAAAATAAAATATTTAGTAATAGTTATTCTTTTTAGATCATTGCACTGTCATTCTAAAAAATATTTAATGTTATTTCTGAGTACACAAGGTACACAATGACATGTAAATCTCCCTTTCACTCCTATTCCCCAGTCACCAGTTCCCTTCCTGGAAGAAACCTCTCTCTCCTTCCAAAGTCATCTAAAAACAATCAAGAGGGCGCCTGGGTGGCTCAGTCGTTAAGCCTCTGCCTTCCGCTCAGGTTATGATCCCAGGGTCCTGGGAACAAGCTCCGCACTGTGTCTCTGTCAAATAAATATATAAAATCTTTAAAATAAATAAATAAAAACAAACAATCAAGAAATTATATGTATGCATACATATGTATAAGTGTGTGTAATACAAAATGATAGCATAGTATGCCCTGTTCTGCACTTACGTTATCTATATATCCTATATATCTTGCAGATCTCCCTCTCCCCCATCCATGTACACACAAAATGTTTCCTTTTTTAATAGCTGCAAAAACTTTTAAAGAATCCCACAAACTACACCTTGGATCGCTACAGTGGTACTTTAAAAAGCCTTACAAATCTGTAAATTTGTAAACTCTATTCTTGAATCTGGGGTCAAATTCCCATTCCTTATGTCTGTGGTCAATTATTACTAATACATTGTTAATTCTGGACAGCAAAAAATGTAAAATAGACAGAATATACCCTTGGTATTATGACTCGATTAAAAATAGATTTAAAAATATCTAAAATATTATTAACATGAAATTATAGGTCAGGTAACCCTCCTCCCTTAATTTAAAAGTTGGGTTGCCCTCTGGGTTTATTTCACTAACTTTTAGAGGCCTTTCTTCTGGTCCTCTAAACTAAGAGCTCTTTTCATCACTTTTCAGCCTTGTTAGTTTCTCTATAGAAAGAGAGATGAGGAGGCACCTGGGTGGCTCAGTCGTTTAAGCATCTGCCTTCGGCTCAGGTCATGATCCCAGGGTCCTGGGATCAAGCCCCACATCGGGCTCCCGTCTCAGCGGGGAGCCTGCTTCTCCCTCTCCCACTTCCCCTGCTTGTGTTCCTTCTCTCATTGTCTCTCTGTCAAATAAATAAATAAAATCTTTAAAAAAAGAGAGAGATGGGAAGGTTCTTCTGGAGGAATAATGATTCCATTTCAAGAGTCATAGCAAAACACTAGGGCCATAATCTTCAAAAATTTCTGGAACACAGGAACTCTGTCTTATTAAAGTTTGATAAAATCAGTCCCATTATCTCCCCCAGAAAAATGCTACTTTTCTTCCTGAATTTTCTATCTTGGTTACCAGCATCACCACCCATCTAGTCACCCACGCTGCCCTTCCATCCTTTGCTCTTCCTCTATGTCCAACAGACTGTTAAGTTTTACCAACACTACTTTCCCAATACCCTTCAAATATATCATCATCACTTTCCGACCATCTCAGTTCAGATCTTCATTACAATGGCTTCTTACCTGATCTCCTTACTTTATGTCATACTTGGTTACACATTTAAGCTTTCCAAAACACGAATCTGATCATGTTGGGTTGCTGCACATAGACCTTTGTTAAATCTCCACTCTTACAGGAATCAAGTGTGAAACTTTTCTTTGGCATGAGGAAGGTAGTGTGGGGCAGTGAAAAGAGGATACAGGTTTATAAGTTTAAGAAGACCTGTGTTTGGGGGCACCTAGGTGGCTCAGTCAGCTAAGCGTCTGCCTTCGGCCCAGGTCATAGTCCTGGGGTCCTGGGATCCAGCCCCATGTGGGGTTCCCTGCAGGGAGCCTGCTTCTCCCTCCCCCTCTGCCCCTCCCCTCCGTTCGTGCATGCTCTCTCTCTGCTCACTCTCTCTTGCTGTCTAATAAATAAAATCTTAAAAAAAAAAAGATCTGTGTTTGAAGTCTGACTTTCAGCAAATAATTAAATGTCTCTGAAATTTAGTTTCCTCCTTTATGCAACAGCAATTATATCACCTATACCCATTCCACTCAGTGAGGTCCTTGGAGAAGGAGCATCAATATCACCTAAGAGTATATTATAAATGCAGACCCACCCCAAACCTACTCATTCAAAATCTACATCTTAGTAGAATCACTAGATGATTGGCATACACATTAAAGTTTGAGATGCACCACAAACTTGTGAGATTAGTTAGAAAGTGCGTGTAAAGCTCCTGACATAGAGTAGGCACTCAATAAATGTTGCCCATTATAATCTTCCTCTTTTCCCTTTCTGTATCTTTGCTCATCCTGATTCTTTTGCCTGGAATGTATTCCTCACCTCCTATATTATTGAAATCTTGCTCATTAAGTATCAAATGAAATGTTACTTTCTGTTCCAAGTCTTCTACATCCTTTACCAAACTGAGAAGGGCACTCTTTAACTTCACTTTCTACTGTTTATGTTTTACTCTGGTGAATAGGTTCCTTCAGTAGACTTAAGCTTTTTGAGGGAAGGGACATCTGATTAATCTACTTCCTAAAATTTAACCAGTACCCTATCTTTTAGAAGGTTCAGGTAGATGCAGTTACTAAGAATAGATAAAAGAAAAGCAGGTGTGTCCATGAGAGTCCTGGCAGTAAACCTGGAGCTGTACATGTGTAAAATGGATGACTGGCGAGCAAGTGCCCAAGACAAGAGGAAAGGTAAAAACGAGAAAGAACTTCTGACAGGTTTTTCCATCCTCCAGATGAGTTAGGGATCCATGAAACATCTCTAGAAAATCTTAGGATCTGAGCTGGTTCCCTTAAGATTTTTCTCTGATTTGGTCTGAAACAGGTCATCTCTTGAAACTCCTTTCTCCTTTATCTGTCTCTAGCAGTGAGGACCCAAATTTAGATTAAATGATTCAGAATCTCACTGCTGGAATTACACACCAGAAATTATCCCACTCAATCATTTGATAGATTTGGAAACTATAATCCAGAGAAGTCAAATCACTTGTGCAAAGTTATACAGTAAATAAACAATACAGCTGACCTAGTTTCAAGCTCAAAACTCTTTTCCACTACACTTAAACAACAGTTAGGATCCCAGCAAATGTCAAAAGGAATGTGTAATATGCTTATTACATTTGGCAATGACATTTGCCAAATACATCCCCATTTCACTATAATATTGATTCAAATTCAGTTTACTATGATATTCATTTTATGCAGGCTATCTCTATAATAATTCTATTTTATATCTATATGAAGTTTACCCTGAGTTATTTTTCCAGCTCTATTCTATTCCCTTGGTATCACTGTATTTTTTCATGGATTATGATGTTTAATCTAGTTTCCTAAGAGTTTAACCCATCTGACCCACATCTCACATCTGTATTAAAGATGAAGTAACATGAATTCTAAAATAATCTTGTAGAAAATCAGTATGCCTCTGTATGAATATAAGAACGAAATGAAATTTTATAAGATTGAAAACAATAATACAGATTCTACCAAAACATTAGTTATAAATTTCTATGGGCTCAAATAAAAAGGAAACATTCAAGTTACAAATTGTAGTTAAGATAAATTCTTATCTTTTAAATTACAAACCTAGTTGCCAAGATATTTGTGAAAAACCTCTATAACATTTAATGAAAGGGAAAATAAAAGCAAAAATACTGAAAGACACGTAGATGATTCTACAGATCTACAAAAGGAAAGTGAATCTTTAGGCTACATTTCAATAGACAAGTTACTGTTACCACACAGGAGGCATAGGCTATTTCTATAAACCGCATAACATTTTTTTAAGACTCTTAATTACTTCTACATCAGAAGATAGTAACAAATCATATAAAGCATAAGAAGTTAAAACAAAAACAGTAAAATGAGGAGCCTAAATACAAATATATTATTCTCACCTGACACGATTTTTACACTAAAAAGTACACTAATTTGCTTGAAACACATCTGAAACATATGCTCAGTCCATTAAAAATAAAATGTAACCAATTCTTACTACTTAAACAGAGAGTTCTATGATGAAATAGAGAACATACCCACTTATCCATCAAATCAAGATTATTAAAGTCATTTAGTTAAGGTTCCTTAAAAAATGGTATAGTATAGGGCAGGAGGTAGGCAAAAGGGAAACAAAATAAAACCACCCTCAATTTCAAATTTTTTATACATTGTCATATATTCACAACTCATTTACCAATTTTTTTAAGCAAGAGAGTGGTCTTCTCATATTAAATGGCAGTACAGGTGAAATCAAGACCTAAAGGGAAGGAAGAAGGTACAAAAAAGAGGGCAGAATACGAGGCATCTAGGAAAAACAGGTATGGACCTGGGACTCAGCCACAGCTGTGTCCCATCCTTTTGGTAAGCCACCTGGATGCCTTGTACTCTCTGCCTCCTGTTTTCTCTAAAAACAAATGAGATTTCTCAAGTCCTCTTGATTTTATATGGATTTTCCTGCTCTTAAAAGAAAAAATAGGCAGTATTTTAAAGTTAGGATAAAGGCTCCAGTTCTTAGAATCTGAAATTTCAGACTTTAGGCTTGTAATCTATTAGCACTCTACCAAAATGATCCAAATTAGGATATAAACAATTGATCCACATATGTTAACTCACTGTTGCATGTGCAACTTATAGGAAGGCGTTAGATACAATATTAATTAGAAAAACTACTGACATAAATAGCATGCACGGTACCTTTTGATAAACAATGGAGCACACAAGATCCTTGACAGCAGATAAAGATAGTTCCTGGGCTTCGATGGTAACGCTCTCTCGTGTAAGGCCAATTTGCAGCAGAAATGAAATTGTATGCTCTGAGCCTCTGGAGTTGGTGAGTGATGGCGCACTGAAACTTCCATTAGAGAGTCGGGCAGAGAGTCCTGTTTTAGGACTTGAACACGGAGAAGGAGCTGGAAGCACAGCAGGAAGAGTTGCAGGTAATACAGACTTCTGGGCTGATGGAGGGGAATTGTTTGCAGACATCTGCCTTTCTTTAATATTTTAAAATAGTTGTTAATTTTTTTCAGTGGTTATGAAGAGGCTTTTAAAATCACAGCAGTAAAAAAATGACTGTACTTTTGGATTTAATTGAAAACTTCTTTATTTCCTCTTTTAAGCCACTCATGCCAATGATTGCAACTTCTACAACTGTGAGTTGGATACACAAAAGGTCCTACTTCCCTTAGTATCAGTCCCATCAAAAAAGAGTCTTGTCTTTAGGACCACAACCAGAGATTTGGAAAGGATTTAACATCACTGAATTATCCTCATCAGAAAAGAGTTGACATTGCTTCTTTACTAACCATCTTCATTTATTTTCTTTTAAGTCTACTCTTGTCTCTCTCTTTTAATTTCAGAAAATACATAGTGAATAAAAGTTGTTTTTCTATTAAGATGAAATCCTCCTGGTTTAAAAAATAAGTATTTAGGATTAATCTATTTAACCCTTATCTTGAGGTTTACTGATTTGATGGGACACTTTTTCAAATGTCCATACCTTAAATCACCTTTTCAAATGTCTTTACTTTCATTTTGGGGGGGGGGCAAATTTTTCCATGATGAAGCACAAAACTTTTTAAAACAGTACAGGCATATTTCACTTGATGAATGGGTCCACTGAGAAAAGTTGATGCTTTCTGAAATGCAGTCAGCCTGGAAGGAATTTTAAAAACACTCTTAATATTTTATACTCATTTGACATTATTTTAAAAATCCAAGAATCCCTGCATTTTTTTTAAATGATAAGTTTTGGTTGTATGTAATTCACCAAGAATCCTAATGGGTAGCCATTTTGGGGGGGGTCTAGTTAACAGAGACATTATTTTCCTAGAAGTATAATTTTAGGGAGAGCCTCCTGCTCACCACCACCACCACCACCAAGTCCCTGGCACTCCTCACTAATACCTGAAACCTGAATATCAAACACTTTTATTCCACAAATATACAACGGAGTTAGGAGAGAAACAAAGAAAAATAGAAGGGACTAAAAGAAGGTTAAAATGGACACTGTCATAGAACTAAAGTACAAACCACTCAGCCATACAAAAGATGTAATAATACTGTCCTAATAAAGACACGTCAAAAGTATTCTTTTTTTATATCAAAAAATCTAATTCTGCCAAAATATGGTTGCTGACTTGCTTTGTTGACATATTTCTTTCAGAAAACTAAGGAAGCAGAAGGGAACATACTACGCACAGTTATAATGTGAATGATGTATTGATGACAGGACCACAGGAGAAAGTGATCTTATTTTTTTTTTTTTAAAGATTTTATTTATTTATTTGAGAGAGAGAGAATGAGAGATAGAGAGCACGAGAGAGAAGAGGGTCAGAGGGAGAAGCAGACTCCCTGCTGAGCAGGGAGCCCGATGCGGGACTCGATCTCGGGACTCCAGGATCATGACCCGAGCCGAAGGCAGCCGCTCAACCAACTGAGCCACCCAGGTGCCCGAGAAAGTGATCTTATTATAAAGGGTTTCTAAAAGTAAAAAGAGAGCACTAGGCTCAGTTACAAATGTATCACAGTTTACAATAGACAGTTCAAAAACAAAAGGTATGACCCTGATGGCCTAAGTGAAATGGCTCACAAAAGATCTTTCTAAATTTTACATATATACCTGTAAACAATTCCAATGATGAAAAAGAGTGAAGCATCCAATGTGGCTGCAGAATGACTCTCTGAAGAGTAGTTAATGGGGCTAGATAAATTAGGATGAACATAACAGAAGAGCAAAAACATACAGATATGGTAACAGGAATTTGAAAGCTCAGGAAAAACTAAGGCTTAGAAAAAATTGCTTAAAGATAACAAAAACTTTTATAACTATATTCAAATAAATATTATTCCACCGTATATGGTACAGCACTTAACATCTTATAAATGTTTTACATACTTTACCTCATGCATATCTCTTTGGAGACAAATATGATTTCTGCAGATGAAAAAACAGAAGCACAAGCAGATGAAGCAATGTGCCCAGCATCACATGGGTATTAAGAGGCGGAGTGGTGGGGGGGAGGGGCACCTGGGTGGCTCAGTTGGTTAAGCGTCTGCCTTCCGCTCAGGTCATGGTCCCAGGTCCTGGGATTGAGTCCCATATTGGGCTCCCTGCTCAGCGGGGAGGCTGCTTCTCCCTCTGCCCCTTCCCCCCACTTACGGTTGGTCTCTCTCTCTCTCGCAAAATAAATAAATAAAATCAATCTTAAAAAAAAAAAGAGGCAGAGTGGGAATTAGTACCTAAGTCTCATACCCTCTTACCAAGTGCTGTCTCCACAATAGCACACTATTTGTCAAAGAGAACAAGGAACTGAGAGAATCACTGCTCAGAGAGGATGTTGTTAAGGTTGAGAGAGCACGCAGAGAAGGCAGAATTGCTCAACTTTTATTTTGCTTATCTTCTCTCAGTTTTTAAACTAAAGTTGTAGAAGAGCAATGAGAACCGAAACCCAAGCCTGGTGAATGAGAGACTAAAACAACTTTATATGAGTGCAAGTCTTTGGTTCCAGATGCAATTCATTCCATGCTGCTAAAGCAATTAGCAAGTATAATCACAAAGCTGACTCCTATAATCTTGGCGAAAGAGCTAAGAAAGAAATAATCAGGGCCTGGAGATGGGTCAGAGGTGCTTCAAATTTTATGAGCTGGAGGAGTGGGGAAGTAGATTCCAGAAATCACAAACATATAAACTTAATATTAATCTTTAGTCAAATCTGAGAATAGATTATGAAAACAAGTGGTTTCTGAATAATTAAAAAAGAATATAATAATCACTAGATGACAGCATGAATTCAAACAAATAATGCCAACTCCAATACATTTACATCTTGAAAGAGACTGATTACTACACTTCTTAGATGCAGGAAAGAAGAATAATAACTTAACAGTCACTGAGCTCCAACTGTCAGACACTGTTCTAAACGCCTCATATGTGTTACTTCATCTAATCCTCTGCAACAACCTATTTTATAGTTGAAACAACAGTCTTAGAAATTAAAGTACTTGCCCAAGATCACACAATTAGCAAAGCCAGGGAAAAAAAGTGTATTCTGGCCAAAACAGTATTCAAGATGGTTTTTTATGCTGTTTTTGCAAATACGTCGTTTGAGTGTGAGTCCGGTATTAGTGTAGCTGGGTAAGTTTACTGGTCTATATCAACCTGGATGAAAGAAGTCTTTAGGGGATGTGCCCTGGAACTCTGTCCTTGGCCCTACATTGATTTTGATTATTTATAAGATAAAGACACAGAAGACAGGCTTATAAAATCCCCAGAGTGTACAATCCAGGAGAAACAAACTAAAATTAAAGTGAAATGTAACAAGGGTGAGTGTAAAGCTTTACATTTAGTTTCAAAAGTAAAATGTGCAATGGAGAAGAAATGAAGTGCTCACTTAGAAGCTCTTCATAAATGGAGTTAGCCACCTAAGAGTTTAACAAGGGCTGCTAATCGGTGACTAAAAGAACCAATGCAAATCTAACTCCCTCCGACCCTGAGAACATATCAACATCAATCTGTAAACTCTGTTGCTAATCAGCCTACATTACCATTGTATTCATTTCTACACTCCACATCTTTAAGAGCTATACTGATTAAAAATAATAAAAGCATGTATCCAGATAAGGGTTAAGACAATGTCATGTGACAAATATATGCTTAACAAAGCTAAATAGAATAATGGTCTTCAAATATTTGAAAAGGTGTTAAGAGAATAATCGGCTTTACTCAGTATCACCACAGAGAAGTAAAATGAAGATAACAGTAGTACTTGTTTACCGAACAGGACGTTATGAGGATGGAGCTACTGCATGTAAAGTACCTTCAACAGGACCTGGTTTACAATGAAGTGCTCAGTAACTTCCAACAATTTTCATAGTAATTACATGAAGGAATTAATAATTAATAATAATTTATGCTAAACGCTGCAATTGAGATATGATACGTCATTACATCCTTACAACAACCCGAGGGGATCTGTTTGACTCTGTTTTACAGAAAAGGAACCAGAGTTTCAGAGAAGTTGCTTGCTCACATCTAATATGAGATGGAACTCGGATTCAAACAAAAGTTTCCCTACTCCAAAGCCCACGTTCTTTCTACTATTTCATTCCACCTCCAACAGCCTAACAACAGAACAGGTTTCCTCCTGAGATGAGCGACTTAACGTATACAACTCGAGTAGTTTCAAAAGCTGAACAACTATCATAAAAAAGGTAATAAAATATCTACGAATAATACTGTATTCAGGTTAAATACTTCAAAATACAAGATGCTGCTGTGTTCAGTAATAATTTATTTTCAATGGATGTCTTCCCACTAAATTTTCATTTTATTATACCTGTTAATGTTAGCCAAATAACAGTAACTAATAATACAATCGGCCAATCTATCAGAACTATTGATAACTATTAATAAACTATGTTACACTTTGTATAAAAAATGTTTTTTAAAGTTTCAGCACGAAAACAAATAGAAGAAACTAAATGAGCTGTCATATTACCTTCTGCCCACTCATCCCATCTGTTTTCTCTCTCCTTTTATGGAACCCTGATTTGCTCTGTAAGATGCAACAAGATGTAGGATGAAAAATATTAAGATTAATATCAAAAAAATATAATAACTATAATTTATTTTGTCTTTATGTTTCAATTAGGAAAACTGAGACAAGACAATTACTAATTTATAAACTGTATTCAATTAGATATGTTTGTTTCTAACAGCTATGAGTTGGCTAGCATTTCTAGTATGTTTATTTGGAACATCTCAAATATTCTTTTGGGGAGTTACCTGTCATATATCCAATTCAAATGAGCTTATATATCCATCACCACTGTTGAATGGAATCAAAAGATGAAATATTAAAGGCATCTTGAGCCCATCCTGCCCTGTTACTACAAACAAAGTAAAACAGGTCCATTACTTTATGGTAACATCACAAGTTGATCTACCTTTCTCTCTCACTCCCTTACCTCCCCCCTGCATGTACATATCTCATAATTTAGCAAAGCCTCGAATTAGAAGCTCAAATAGCAGCATTTCATTCAACATTTACTAAGTGCCTATTATCTGCCAGACTGTTACTAGAGACACTGTGGTTATATGGCAGTAACCAAAAGAGACATGGCTACTGCTCTCTCTAGAGCTTACAGTGTGATGTGGGACACACATATTAAACAAATACCATTCACATAAATAGCAAGTTAACTACAAAATAAGAAAAGCGATATGACAAAGTATACTTAAAGGACCTAATTTAAACTGGGGTCTCACACAAGGTGATCTTAAGGAAGTGGTGCTTAAGCTAAGACCTAAAGGATAAGTATGAGTCAGGGAAGGAGAGAGAGGAGGGAAGAGGATTCCAGGAAGACAAAACAAATCCAGTTCTTAAATACTTCAAAAGGAAGCTCATTATTTAGTATAGCCAGTGTCCTTTCTGTAATCAGTAAAGCCTAAAGAGGTAAAATGCTTTTCCTATCCTGAATAGCATAATATTTACCATGACTTCCTACCAGTAATGGGTTGTCCTGGTTCAACTGAGTTGTG